TTGTCTTTTTTCTCCAGTAGACACAGCACAAGATAATACTTACAAGGTTCTGTTGGCAGAGAACAACCAATCAAAATAGAGGAAGAGGCCGCACTATAATCCAGAATCAGACACAGAAGGATTATTCTGAATACGGAATCATGCAAAGCTTCTCTAACAGAATCAGAAGAATAAAAGGAGGAAACAGCTCACCTTAACTGTATTTACTGACTTCCTTTGGAGTCAACTTGCTGTATTCAAGTGTGACCTTTACAGTCAAATAAGAGAAACATTAATGTGTGTTTTCATTAACAGGAGAGAGTGGGAGGAAGGCAGGACACATGTGAGAAAGAGAGCAAGAGAGTCTGAGTATGAGGGTGGGTGGTGATCATTTCCAGGAAGAGGTACAGAGAGGGAGAGTTTGTGTGTTTCCAAGCGACTTCCTGGTATACCGGGTGTATCCTGTTAAAACACACACACACACACACACACACACACATTCTTTGGTTCTCTATATATGTGTTGTGCATGAACTTTATGGACAATAACAGACTTGCAGTGTGACGTCATGTGTGGCTGTTAATGAACTTTAATCTGAAATCTCTCCTTGCAAAGAGGTCAAAGGTCAGCAGTGAGTTCAGAGATGCTGGAAGTTTGATGAGAAACTGATCAATCATTTAACTTGTTAACTGATGTTAGATAATTCTATGAAAGTTGAACTTTTACTGAGCGGAAGGCAGAATCACAATCATCTGTCTATAATCCATAATCACCCTCAACCTCAGTCATTTTACTCGGGGTTCAATCTAACTAATCAACTGACTAGTGCCGGTATCCAATCAATAAAACCAACAGACGGACGTTTTGTCATAGCTGCAGGCAGCCACCAGGGGGCTCCATATCCACATGCTCACGTCGCAGAGCAGCTTATTTATATAAAGTTTTTAATTAAAAGTAATATTTCAGCCTATCAGGCCTACCTATGCGCAGAGCACGGCGAGGAGGGAGTACTGCGAGCACACATATATAGCCTGTGTCACTTTGGTAACTGAATACACGTAGGTTCAAGCACGCGCTTCAGTTCGCGTTTTCAGGACTGCCCTCTAAGTGTGCGCGCACGGCGGGAGGCTGGATTATCACCGGGATGGTTTGTGAGCGCGGAGAAGCGGAAACGCGCCGGCAGCAGCGGGGCGCGAGCCTCCGGTGAGCCTCCGGTGAGACAGAGTTCCCACCGAGTGTTCACGAGGCTTCCTCCTCCGCACGAGCTGCCGCTGAAAACAGCTGGATGTCGTTCCGCGGACACACGGAGCTGCGCTGAGCGCCGAACAGGTAAAACAACGTCAGCCGCTCCTCTATTGATGAACTTACACAGGAGAAAGGCGCCGCGCGTTTAGCGACCAAGCAGTTAATCGAGCAGAAAGTTATTTTTAGTTCTTTTCTTAGTCTCTGTCCTGGTTACGCTTTCAAACGAACGAGGACTCTGATTTTCCTTCTTCATCTTAACCGAAGTCTATCTGCCTTCAGACAAAACAGCCCACCATTAAGAATACATTCAGTTCAACTTGATTTATACATCGCCAAATCACAACAGCAATAAAACAGTGAAAGCCAGCAGTCATTAAGCACTTGGCGACACTGGAAAGGAAAAACTCCCTTTGAACAGAAAGAAACCTCCGGTAGAACCAGGCTGAGCGAAGGGCGATCATCTGAGAGACTGGATGCGCATGAGGGGACAAAATATTCATAATCGATCGCGAGAATGATGCATTTGACATCCACGATATCATTGACTGTTTTACATAACAATAGTATTATTATTAATAATAAAAATGATATGTGAAACACACAGACGGACACACAGACACTCAATGGTCAGATGGACAGTCACCTCAGAATGAAAGTGAGAAAGTGTATTTTTTTATATGAGGTTTGATGTGTGCACAGATCCTGAACCTAAAGAAGCTGAAAGTTTAGAAACAGACCTGAATGCTGACAGCTCTTTGTTCCGTGAGTGATGTGTTTGAGTCTCATTGATGTTGCAACAACACTTATATAAGACTGAAGACAGTTCACAACAATGGCACACACACACAGACCGGGTGGCTGAGTGTGTTTTACCTCCATCTCTGGACAGTAAAGTTTTAATCAGCATCAAAAATCCTGATGTGTTAAAGACACGTCAGCCTGACTGAAGCTGGCCTATACTTCTTCTTCCTGTCAGATTTCCTGCTGCCTTTTTTCACAGCAGCCTGCTGTCAGAGATTTATTCATGTGCTCATATGTATGGAGAAATGTGGTGATTAAAATCTGATTTTGTGTTTCCACATACAGAGAAGCTATGCACGCATTTCAACACCACACATCACATTTCTTTGCGTTACCTCACACCATTTGGACAGACCCAGAAACACACGCTGCATTTGAAAACTGGGATATGAGGGCGTTTTGATGGATTCTTGAGTTTAAAGTGGGACCTACATTTTGGTCAACAGCTCAACAACAGGTGTGAGTCATGTAGGCTGAAAGCCGAAGAGACCAGATCATCTGTACTCTAAACGTGTGGAATCATAGACAAATTAACATGACCATAACAACCATAACCCTTTACTTAAAGAAAACAAAATAAAGGAGATTTCAAAGTTATTAGGGAGAGCCCAATTCTGTTGATCTGGGCGTAGCATTTTCAGTGGGAGAAACATTTTGTCACTCTTGTTCAGCTCGTCAAGAAACTGACCTTACAGCCCATTGTTCACCAGTGGAGTTTGTTTGAGTCATTATGCAAATGTACTGTTTAAAAGATTGGGGAAACCTACAGCTGAGACTGAAGAAGTCACTTGGATGAGTGATGAAACGTTTCTCCCACTAAAAAAAACTATGTCCAGATGATTGAGTATGCATCAAGAGTTATTAGGGAGTGGTTTTACTCAACCAGCACAGCTGATGAATTTGAATGGTAAGTGGCTCAGGAACGAAGGGTTTGACATCCCTGGTGCAGATACTGGTACTGCATCTGAAGCATGACGCCAATGCAGAAGCACTCTAATGTCCAGCAGGGTGCAACTGCTTTGGTCTGATTATACAGAAGTCTAAGGGAAAATGACCCCACTCCTCACCTGATTACCAAGCTCAGTACACACTTTCCTGATGAGTTCATGATCTCAGTCCCTAGTTTTAAATCCATCCATCCATCCATTTTCTTTCACCCTGGACTGGCAGACCTGGTTTCAATTCTTACTGAATAAAACATCAGGTACATATTTTGGAGCTTATTTATTCATTCTCCTTGAAATTCAGTCATCCCTGGAGTGCATTTGATGAAAGAGAGCCAATTAAGTCAAATGAAATGATCCGAGCTGTCAAGTTGCTATAATGCGAGTGGACTGATTCAAGTCATGGAGCCGCACCACCTGGCTTCAAACTTCACCGTGACCTCAGTTTTGTTTCTCTCTTCTTTGTTCGCTAACTGTTAAAGATGAGAAGACGAGAAAAGGATCCTCTCATTGTTTGGAACAGCTGACGAACTAACGCTGACACCATTAACATTGTGTTGTCTTTGACCTCTGCTTACCTCATCCCTTGTATTTTATGGGATGAATTAGACCTGTTTTAGTATTTTTAATTCTCTCCTACCTTGTTAAAGTGACTCAACGCAACATTTTCTGCATTTATTTCAAATTAAAAGCCCTGTTAGCTTTGCAGTACAGAAACTGTATGTCCATATGTCAGTGAGGCTTTTATTATGGAAACTCAGGCTGCTTTTATTTGAAGAACTTCGGGACATAAGTGGATAAACCGTGCACATCTGCTTCCTCACGCAAATATGGTACAGAGAAAGATGACAAAGGAAACCCAGGTAGAGCAGAAAAATGTGAGGAAGAAGCTGATGAAGATGTTCAGATTAACTCCGTGGTCTGTTGAAAGGAGTCACATAGCTCTGCAGCTCTGATTAAAAGGGACTAGGAAGCCGGGGAGGATTTAGAGTTTGATGAAACTCTAACCCTAACACGCAGTCAGACTTCTCCCATGCATTCGTTTAGCTTTTAAAGACAACAACTCATTTTATTCACAGGACCCTGAACTCTGATGTGTTCTCTCTTCACTCTTTAGTTGGCCTTTCCCTCACACCTCACTCTTATCATTCACCTCTGTTCGGTTTTACGGCTCTGTGTTACCAGGAACAGATGGACTGTAAGAGTGTGACTGCTTCACTGACTCTCACAGCAGCAGATTAGATCTAATTGTCACTCACATTACTCATTAATCAAACGGTAAACATGGTCAGGCTGCTGTTTAACAAGCAATTATCTTGGACCGGCCCAGTGGAGGACTTCAGCTTCATGTCTGCAAACACATGGTCACGTGAAGGATGGATAGATCCCACTCAATGATCCCACACGGAAACTCGCACAGACTTTCCAGAATTCCCAGCAGCTTCAAGTTTCAGTAGCTGTTCTGATGAATAAAGGTTTGTTTTGAATTTTCTCTACAGGACACGCTGATTAACACTGTGTTATATTTTCCCCACAGCTCGTCTGACAGGTTATTAACGCCTCTTCATCATGCTGTCCTGGGCCTGTCCCTTGCTCTTCCTGGTCCTTCTTCCTGCCCAATCAGCTGCAACCTCTCTAACTGCTGACAACAGAACGGAGGATCTTCAGGAGGTCATCCTGGCAGCCATCTTGCCTCTGACTAACACTAACTATGCATGGGCATGGCCTCGGGTTGCGCCCGCCATCTACCAGGCATTACAGCAGGTGAACTCTGACCCCTGGTTGCTACCAGGTCTGAAGCTGCGGCTAGTTCATGGCAGCTCAGAGAGCCGCGACGGCTTTTGCTCAGACTCCATAGCGCCGCTTGTAGCCGTCGACCTCAAGCTGTCCCACGACCCCTGGGCCTTCATTGGACCCGGCTGCGACTACTCATCCTCACCTGTTGCCCGCTTTACCACCCACTGGGATGTTCCCATGGTGACAGCTGGTGCCCGAGCAATCGGCTTCAATCTGTACGGTGCGGTCACCAATACGGGCCCCACTCACAAAAAGCTGGGCGAGTTTGGTGTCAGGATCCAGGAGATGTTTGGCTGGCAGCGGCACGCCACGGTCATCTTCAGTGACAACAAGGACGCCAATGATGATCGGCTGTGCTACTTCGCTGTGGAGGGGCTGTATGAGCTGCTGGGCAAACGTAACATCACTGTCCACGACCACGCCATCCAGGGCGACGTCAACTACAAGTCGATGGTCCAGGATATCCGTGACAATGGCCGAGGTCATATTCTTCTTCTGCTGCTTTCATTCCTCATGTTTTAACAGTTGTTGTTGTCCTCACTCCACTGCTTTCTGTTCATCCTTTTCTCTAAAATTAACTGCTTAAAAGCTACGCTGTTTCTGCTCACTCTTTAGAAGCAGACATCTCAAGGTTACTTATTCTTTTACGTTCTCTTCTTCATGCCATTCCTTTTGGCCGAGGTGATCCATGATCTTGGGGAAGATGGCTTTTCAGATGCTTTTGTTGCCTAGTTTCAACTCCTCCAGCCTTGCTTCCTTTTCATTTCTTCTTCAGACACTTCAACTGATTTAGCATTATGTTCTTCATTCATTTTGTTCTTTTATTTTCCGGTTTTCCTTTTTGCTTCCTTCCTTAACTGAGTTTTTTTCTTTTCATTCTTTGTTCTTTCATTCTTTCATCAGATGAAAAGCTTTGGTCAGAAGCTTCATTTGCTCTCGTGTCACTGATTGTTTTTCCTTCATGACTCTCCTCCTTCCTCCTTTCCTTTCCTTTCCTCCCTGCCTTATTGTTGTTCTCCTTGTTAAATGATGGTTAATTATTCTGAGATTTTTATCCTCACTGGTTAATGACTGACTTCACCTCTGTGTGTTTGGGTGCTCCTACATGTTTGTGAGGAGTAATTTCATTTTAAGACCTAGGAGTGGGGACAGTCCTGTATTATGGGGACACTTAGTTGGACCTCCACGTGACAACTTTTTAATGGAAATTAGTTCATGAGCGATACATGCAGATTGCTGCTTTGGACTTTGATTTGCAGTCAGCGGTGGTCAGACTGGAAGTGTTAGTCATTTAGCTTAGTCTTCAATCAATGACAAGCGTGTTCATGGTGTTTGGGCAGCACTGACTGCTGAAGGTGACTGAAACACAGCTGGAGCTGGAAATGCTTTGCATGATATCAGGTTCAGTTTGTGGGTAATGATGTGAGTGAGGGTATACAAGTACACAAAACAAATGTGTGTCTGTGTCTGTGTTTGCTGAACACACATGTAAACAATCAGTCTGTAATTAGGTACAGAAGAAGAAGCAGAAGTGAGCCTGTTTGCTGTGTTTCTGCTCCTCGCCGTCAGCTCGTTTTTATTGTAAGCATCGCTGAAACGCTGCTCTGATGGTCTGAAAATGTTTGCAGTGACCTGCATCGCCCGCTGATGTCACAGTGTGAATTAGATCATGAGATCAGAGCTGTGTGACATGATGACATCATCACAGACACACTATCGTCCTTTAACCAACGCCAGCTGCTGCACCCAGCAACATGGACGTCCTAGTAATTACCTCTGAACCCACACCCACCATTGGACACTACATGGAGAAACCTTATGAACACAAGCGTGCTCATACACACAGGTGTGTACACACAGAAACACACCATCTTGTGCTGCTGCTGCCTCTAAAAATATCTTGTGTTATTACAGACCTTCCCAAAGTGTGGGGCCCGCCCCCTAGGGGGGGCGCAGAGCCATTGCAGGGGGGGCGCGGAATGAAAAGGGGGGGAAAAAAACACAAAACACTTGGACACTGCTAGCACGGGGCGCCCACAGAAACGCAAAGCAGGAGATGAAGCATCGCTGAATATGTTTCCAAACCAACTTCATTCCAAGCCAAAGACTAGAAAATATGGTGAAGCATATCTTCCCTTTGGCTTCACCTGCACAAGTGCCGAGGTAGGTCTCCCTGCAGAATTGGTTTTACCTTCGTAGGGAGCAGCGCTGGGCTGTTTAAATCACGGACAAACAGGATCCCACAGTTGTTTATGTTTTTAAACCCATTTTGCACAG